GGCCGCTCACACTGAGCCTGGTTCTGCTGGAGGTTTCTTCCTGTTAAAAGGGAGTTTTTCCTCTCCACTGTCGCTACAAGCATGCTTAGTTTGAGGGATTGCATCCAAGTCAATGAGTCGATGCAATCAACTGGTTTTTGTTAGATAGAAAACTTTGAACCAATTTGACTGTATGATCTGGTGAACTGTAAATTGCCTTGAGATGACATGTGTTGTGAATTGGGGCTATATAAATAAAGGGAACTGTATTGAATTGAATCTGAAAGCTTTGCTTGTCCTTAAAAAGGAACCAAGGAATAGGCAAACTGAGCTATTGCTTCCTTGACCCAACAGTAGGGATCCCTCAAAGCTTGATTTCTCAAATATATTACATATAATTAAAATAAAAGCTTTTGATCTCCTGCCCGTTAGACTAGAAACTATAACTTTTAAGTTTACGACATCAGCTTCAAAAGAATATAAACTTTCATCTATATTTATCTATTTTTATCTATATAAAGGGGAATCTGTTTATGTTACCTGCCATCATTTGATGGTATAATGTGCAATTGCTATTTGATACCCTGTGCAATAACCTGATTCTCTATATTTGACACCAAGTGCAATAACTATATATATGAATAGCCATCTATATACAGTAAATACCAGGGTCAACACCCTATGCAATAACCCTGTATATTAATCCTAAAAAAAAAAAAAAAAAAAACTGTGTTATGTGGACACACTGTATGCATCCCATGCACCTTTTTCCTCCTTAGGCACATTCTTCTCCTTAAATTTCTCCACTGTGAGATCAATAAAGTCAATCAATCAATTGATGCTGCTTCTTTGGCTGTGTTGGAGTAAGATTTAATGCACATGGTGACTGCAAACAAAGTGTTATAAACAATAAAATATGAGGTCACATGCTTGCTTAACTAAAATTTAATCCTGGACCCTCTATATTGAAATGTGACTGGTAGGCGGGATGAGGAAATTTATAAGGATGACTTCCGAAGATATTTGGTTTCTCTTGTATTTTACTTATGGGTAACAGGGTAAAGAGAGTCTATAATTTTTTCATATTGCTACGCACTTTTTAAATGCATATCACTAAAAAGGTGGCTTAAGTAAATTTCTAAAACATGTACGTGCCCATCTCCTAGTAAGAACATGAATGCTCCATTTTAGATTTAACAAGCTGCATCATAGATGTCAGTGACATGTATACTAACACAAAGTGTCAAATGTAAAACGCTTCCCAAGTCTTATCATGTTAAGTCAAAGCTGAGAGTCATCTCCTGCCTGACATGTTGCCTGCCTCACTCACTTAGCAATGAGCCTTTAGCAGATGAGCCTGGTGATCGACGAATTTAGCTCCACTTGACCTTTACAGTCATGTCTTCCTGCTAATTGGAATCATAAACCAACAGACAAAACGTTTCGCAGTTATGTGTTAATTATCTTGTTGTTATACACGTTTCTTCCTCTAGCAGGATGAGCTGTTTACTGTGTAACTTGAACATTTCATGAATATGAACTGTTAACCATGATTTTTAAAATAGTTTTTAAGGTTTTAAAGAACCTCAAAATTATATTATCTTTAATTGACATGTCATCTCTCTTTAGGGGGAATCTAATAATTACCAATAAAATATGCTTGATTATTTTTGCACTAGGCTGAATTCCCATGGGAATCTCTGCATGGAGATAATATTGATACTCCTCACAGTTACACACCAGACTTCTCTTGGATATATCTATCTATTGAGTTCTTCTTACATGAGATTATGTCATTGAGATAATATCCCTCACCCCTGCAACATTCCAGATCAGTATGAAGATTTTAATTGCATTCCTGGGCAAGAATGAAAACAACTCTGTCCAGTGAGTCAATCCCAGCTCCTCCTCCTAGTATATGATGTTTGCAGAAATCATCCAAAAGGAGTTCCTGGATAGGCTTTTCATGGGGGTGGTTGTATTGTCTGTAAGTATGATCTGTCAGCTTTATACTCTTTACTGCAATTGTGACATTGTCTGCCAGGGTATTTTTTGCTATGAGTGTAATAGCCTATTTGTTGAACCACACGTACACACACAAAAACACAGGCTACTTTCTTTCATTGAAGACAATACGGAGCACTTCCGTTTTGGAAACTGTTTTGCCAAAGTATGCAATTTTCTACCTCTTACTTTTTCATTTTATTTTATTTTTTGCAGTAGAAGGATGCTCTAAATGAGCAGGTATAATTTAAAAGAATAGCATATGTATCATTTTGTGTTTCCTCAATTATTACCCTGCCTGTGTTTCAACATAGTCTAAACAATAGAACAGAGCAGTGTGACATTTAGGTGCAAACTGAAATAGTTCCATTCACTTTAATCCTATAGATTTACAATTATTCATACAGTTTTTTTTGTTTTTTTTTACATTATCATAGTATCAATATTTATCATCAGTATTATTATTATTATTATTATTACTTTGTTAATTATTTGTGCTGTAACTGTGAATTTTGCAGCTTCTGATGGATAGTTGAAGTCTAAACTTGGAAGTCGTTATTTATTGATCTATTTCTCTATTTTGACCTGAACTCTATTCGCTACGACTCTATACTCTTCCAGTCATTTCTTTATTACTTCAACGTGTTTGTGCTGACCTCTAGTGGTCAAAGAGCAACACTACAAATTCAAACGGCGCACAGTTGTACCCATAGATATCCATAATAAAGCCTTTATTATGGATATCTATGGTTGTACCATTAAGACACGATGTCAATAGCATCACGCCCTCTACTGATGAAAATACAACACTACACATACCATTCGAACAAGGCTGAGATGTGTAAAAATTCTAGTTGACTTATGGAGAATCTTTTTCTGACCCCTAAAGTTAGAATCTATGTTTTTTTGTATTTCACAAGAGTCTCTCTCAAATATAAAGTGACAATCATATTAGTTTGCAGCCAGTTCTCTTTATTTTGCTATAATTTTATTGGCCTAGAAAAACAAAAATTCCCATATTGTACACATGTCTTTCTTGTGTTCCAAAGATATTTTGTTGGTCTTCGAACACTGCATTGTTTAGTGTTTTATAGTGGATTCAATTTACAACACTACTATTTTTTTTTTTTTTTTTTTTTTTTTTTTTTTTTTGCTGCTCCAGTTATTAAGCAGTTATTGTTTGTTGGATAAATGGTCCTGTCGGAAGATTGCATAAAACGTGACGTCAGTATTCAACTCGTTTGATTTGTCAAATCCCTCTCGCGCTCTCAGGGTTTCAACCAACCGTCTCTTTCAGAGGTTTGAAAGTCTTAACAGGTACGTCAAAATGTCACTTTCGCTTCTGTAGCCTATAAACTATACGAAATGCATTTGCAAAGTAGGATTAGAACTATTTAATGTTTAACATGGCGCAGATCAGTACAGCCATTGTGTAGACTTTAAGATCATAATTCAATTAAGATGCCTTTTACAAAGTGGGATCAAACATGTATGTTTCTTTGTGGGTGGTTTCTGCTTTCATTACTGCTTTATGTTAGTATATTATCTGTGTTGTTTCTGCTGTTTGTTTATGCTAAATTAATTAAACATTAGAATGTTCAAATGACATGCCAACATCAGTCTCCAGATGTTACTTTAAAGCCCCACTTAACCTGTTGGGGAAGATCTTATGATTCTACCTGGTGAATGATTGCTAAGCATTTACACTATCACAAGGCATTTATGGAAAAAATAGTTTGAAAAAGGTCATGAATTTATAATACGAATTCCCTTATTTTATTACCTTTATAAAGATGGTGGATCATTGGCTGCCCTGCTTCGTGATTCAGCTCTATGTGCCATAACCATCATAAGTTTGCATTTATTATAAACGCAAATTGTTGTATCTAGTTTACTTTTCCTGTCAGTGTTTTTGTACTGTATTTGCTTCCTTTGGTCCTGAATTATAAAAATCATTTTATCTATAAACAGAGTGAAAAAAGTAAAGCTGTGTGTTACATTTCAAAAACTCCATCAAGCTTTTACCATTTACCAGTTTGTTATATTGAGATAGGATGAAAAAAACAAAAAAATAAAAACTGAAGGACATCGATTAATAAACGCTCAGTGTCAATTTAAAAAATCTGCTCGAAATATTGCTCCAAACAAACCCCCATCTTTATCAGGATCACAGTGACATCTACAGTGTTGTTTGTTTTTGGATGCTGAGGCAATGTTTCACCACAAATGTGGTTCTTGCAAAATAGCAAGATATTCATTATAACAGAAACAATCACGAGAGAGTTGGTTAAACCCAGGCCTGAATGTTTAGGTCTGCCCTTATTTTTATTATTTTTTTATGTGGTAGACTTTATCCCCTTGAACCCCAGACGGCCTCGGCAGATGGCCGCTCACACTGATCCTGGTCCTGCTGGAGGTTTCTTTCTGTTAAAAGGGAGTTTTTCCTCTCCACTGTCGCTACAAGCATGCTTAGCGTGAGGGATTGCATTCGAGTCAATGAGTCCATACAATCAACTGGTTTTCCTTAGATAGAAAACTTTGAATCAATCAGAGTGTATGATCTGGTGAACTGTATATTGCCTTGAGATGACATGTGTTGTGAATTGGGGATGTATAAATAAACTGAATTGAATTGAATCCTGTGTACACACAGTGTTTAGTTAGATAGTAATGCCTGAATGTACCTAATTGTATATTGATTCCAGCATATGAGTTAGGTCACACCGCTAATACTTGCCTTGGTAATAAATAAACCCATAATAAACATAATAAAGGTGCGTTTTTCTAGGATGTGGTGTATAAAACATGTAGGAATGCACCTGTTTCCGTAGATAAATGACATACCTTCAATTCAAATTTCAAAGTTCATTGCTGCTTTTTTCTATCAGTAGCTACATTGTAGTTTTTTATGCCCTTTGATCAAAGGTTCCACTGAGACGACTATAACAACATTAGTAGAAGTGCAGTATAAATTAGAATCACTTATATAATATGCATCACGCCACATACATATGATGGAAAATGTACTGGAATTATTTTGACTTTCTTGTTTGTGTCTTTAATACACCCTATACTTTAGAGTCCACCTTATCCTGCAAGAGCTGAAATATGTCAGCGGTGTTGGTCGTTCATGGTGGTGCCTGGGCTATTCCAGATGAGCTGGCCCCAGTTTCTGTTCAAGGAGTAAAAGCTGCTGCACGGCATGGATCGTCTGTGCTTAGAAGTGGAGGCAGTTTGGTGGATGCTGTTGAGGCTGCTGTTAGGGCTTTGGAGGACAACACCGTCTTTAATGCAGGTACATAAAACGGATCAGTTTGTCACATAAGGATGAAATGAAACTACTTTGTATGAATTCACAGCACGTTGAATTCCTCATCCACGAGTAATGTAGAAAATAAATGACAATAATTATTTATTATTATATTATTCAAATTTATCAGAACACTGTCTCCATCTGCAATTTTTCTTACTGATATCTATTGGAGCTCAGTGGAGTTATTAATATTTCTCTCAGGGGATTTTTACAGGCTTTATCTTCAACAATTCCCTTTGGATTAAATCAAAACTAAACAGAAGCCCCTGGAAATGGATGTTCTGTTTAATTAACTCTCAGAGAGACCTGGACTAAGTATAAAATACAAATAAGAACAGGTTTTGTATTTATTTTTCCAACTTATATGAGTCTATGTGGTCCAAGTTTAAACAGCAGCAAAATATTGTATACATCTTAATCTGTTTTAGTTATCAGCCCTGTCTTTATGGAAAAAGGGAACTGGTTTTCATTTGCATTCTAAATCTAAAATCTAAAACAAAAATCGGATAACTAAAACATGGGCCCTAATTTAAGAAAGTGAGGAATCAGAATAAGTTCTGGGGTAAATCCCCACATATCCATGTTTTTTGGTTTCCCAGTTAAAGTCGCAAGTTGCTGCATAAACCAACTTTGGTCAGTTGCAGGATTCATTTAATTGTTAAGTTAAATATTACTAAAGCCAAGGTTTACCTTCATATTATCCTATGTTTGTTAATACAAAGCTAATGAATGATGTTTAGTTCAGTTGAAAAAGGTTGAATATAACAACAGCTGGTAACTGAAGCCTAACCCAGATTTAGAATAGAATAGAAAATCCCTTTATTGTCCCACAATGGGGAAATTGTGGGACAATAAAGTGTCATTTTATATTTTATCTTGATTTAATGCTACATCTTTTTTTTTCCCTGCATAGATAAATGTGTGCACAGACACACATTTATTTATTTTTTTTTTACATTAAATAGATGTAGTTTGGAGAATATAACTTTAATACAGCATTAAAGACTCACGTATTGACTTGTTTGCTGATAAGCTACTAGTACTCCTTATTTTCCTGCAGGAACAGTGTTGCTTTTTGTGTTAATAATATTTTAATAATCTCCATATGTAATCATAATATTTTAAATTCCACTACTAAGAAATGCGCTCTTTAAGACTTCATTTTTCCTCTCATTGCCTTCGTTGTTCATTCCTGCACTAGGAGAACATGTACACTTCATGCAGAAAGACCCCAGGTCAGGATTTGAAAAAAATGCTGTTAGCAGCTATGCTACCAATTTTGCCATCAGTAGCTTATCACCATAGATATCAAATGAATAACAATACAATACTGTATGGGCCTAAATGCAGCAACACTCATTTGAAGTTTGGAGACTGGAGATTTTTATAGATCTGGACAAGGAACGGTGAAGCAGGCTATTAGTGGTGGTTAATTGCTCACATCTCTCCTCCCTTGTTTATCAGCTTTAATCTTGCCTGGTGGACAAGAGAGGAAATTGTAGCTGAAACAACATGATTCTGCTATATTTCCCTCTGTAAACACACATTTTTATTTTTTTTTTTAAACCTTTTCCTCTAGGGCATGGGGCAACGCTAAAAATTGATGGAGAAGTGCAGCTGGATGCCATTATAGTGGATGGAAAGACGCTTGCCTTTGGTTCGGTGTCTTGCGTAAAGAACATCGCTAACCCTGTGTCACTGGCAAGGGCAGTCATGGAGAAGGTTGTGTTATTTTTGTTGTATTATTTAGTTTTAACCTGTTGTTTCTGTCTCATAGAAAGATAAAGCAGAATTGAAATTATGGTTTAAACACCGGCACGATGGAATGAGATCCTTTCCAATATCTTTGTTCATTAAAATGAAAAATACAATAGCATCATCTGTTCATCCCATTTTAGGATGTAATGAGTGAATAAAAGCCTGCCACTTATCATAGATTTTGTGGTACTGGTTCCAGAAGTGTAACCCAGAAGTCCTTAACATTAGTTAAGCATTTCAACTCATTCATTGGCCAGAAGGCCTATGTACCTTTGAGCAGGTGCTCTGTAGTTCCTCATAGAGAGAGGTTTCTTTAGATATTTAGATGCATAATAAAAGTTTCTTAAAGGCAAAAATCAGAAATCTGCTCAACATGATCTCATTTCAGACATTTTCAGTTTACTTTTGTCCCTGAAAGTGAGTTCAACTGGTTTGTCTAGCTGCCACCTCTGCCACCAGATCCATCAAACGTTCTTTTAAACACTGCTCAGAATCCAAAATCATGGTGGCCATTCCTTATAATCATTGTTATTCTTTAAAATAGATTTAACATATCTTCTACATATTTGCTGTTGTGGAAATTTCCAGACGTCCCATGTAATGCTGACGGGCAGAGGTGCAGACAAGTTTGCAGAGAGCATCGGGATCGCCATGGTTCCTACAGATAAACTGGTGACTGAATGTGAGAGGAAGGAATGGGAAAAACACAAGAAATACATCGCAGCAGTAAATGAAGAATTCAACACACAGTGGTATGCTCTTTTCTAAACTATTGTTGTTCAGTCTAACGTGATTAATTAGATGATCCCTCTAATTAATCTTATGGGTTCTCCTAGTTATTTTGACACTTAATTGTACTGAAGCATATCTATTAATACATACAGTTTTACAGATAAGTTAGACTATAGAAGACTTTCAGCCCAACTAGGGATGTGCACTTTTTAGGGCTGCAACTAACGATTAATTAGCAAGTCGATTCATCTGTCGATTAATTTTAGATTAATTCATTAATAATCAGATGGCCAAAGATTTTTTTTTTAAATAAATTAAAGAAACTAAATCTTTTCCACTTGAGGAATTCTGGATAGAGCATATTCTGTCCATCCATTGATTTTCCGTCACGCTTATCCCAAGAGTGGTTGCAAGGGGTGCTGGTGCCTATCTCCAGCTGTCTACGGGAGGGGTAAACCCTGGACAGGTTGCCAGTCCAGAACAGGGCAACACAGAGACAAACAACCATTCATTCAAACACCTAAAGACAATTTAGAGAAGCCAATTCACCTAAGAGTCTTGTTTAGGGAGAACATGCAAACTCCGTGCAGAAAGTTCCCAGCCCGGGAATTGAACTCAGAACCTTTCTGCTGCAAGGGAGCAGTGCTGTCCACTGCTCCACTTTTTTTTTTTTTTTTTGCCATAGTGGTATAATTACTGCTCTTAATGGGTTGTCCTGTCAGCTAAAGGTATATTTTAGTCTCCACACTCCAGTTAATGATTTAATCGATTACTAAATTAGTTTCCGATTATTTCAATAATTGATTAATCCGACTAACTTTTTTAGCCCTAGTAATTTTACAAAAACATTAAATTATTATATTCGTATTTTTTTTAGTGACAATCATACTCTTATTTTTATGATCAGTGTCTCCACAGCCCTTTTTGAGATTTTTTATGTTGGTTACAAAGATCTGTATTAATTCTGGGAATAAAGGACATTAAAAGGTCATCTTAGTACCACTAACTGTATCATGTCAAATTGCAAATTTTATAGCCATACAATTATTGGAATCAAACAATTATTTGCAAAGGTGGTATTGACCACAATGATGTAATGAAGATTGATATGTTGTAGAGGATTTGGGCCAATTTAAAAACCTGTCTCTGTGTATGGAGTAAGAATTTCATTTTTTAAGTTGAAATAAACTGTTTTTTTTATTCAAGGGCCCACGATACTGTTGGGGCTGTAGCTCTGGACTCTGCAGGGAACGTTGCATGTGCAACATCCACTGGAGGGACCAGACATAAAATGGTTGGCAGAGTTGGAGATTCTCCTGTCATTGGTATGTTATTAACATTAATGACTCTGGTGGATCCAAGTGTTTCTCTCCTGGATCTTCACAGTGGTGGGGGTTGTTAGTTGCACTATGTAGGGTCCTTCCCACCTTGGAGCTTCCCAACTCTTCCCTTTGATGATTTTAATCAGCTCTCGGTCTCCAGGCTTCAGGCCTTCCTGTGGGGAAACAAAAAAAAGGAGCTCTGGGCAGATTACATGTTCTTTGAACAGTTTCGTATTTGAACAGTTTCAGAATGCACTTAGTTTTCTGATTTGCTTGTGAATTGTATTCACAACATGTGAGACATGCAAAAATTTTAAAAGCAGTAGTAGTACTATATTCATCATAACTCCTCCCTGTTTGAGACATGATAATTTCATGGATCAAAATAGCTGCTGGTTTTTGTCAGAATCAGAATAATTCCAGAGGGAAATTGCTTTTGCTAGATGTTCAAATTACAGTTATATATATATATATATATATATCCAACTAAAGAATAAGAATATAGGGGAACTGATGTCCACACGGGTCCTCTTTAACCCTTAAAAGTAAGACACTACAGGTATGAGCGTATCACCATGAGAATGTAACAACACAAAGGTCATATAACTTGCTTAACCGCCAGCTGTTTGGATGCACGGTTTTTGATAAGTTTACAAAGCTAAGACAGTTGCTGAGAAAAGTTCCACATTCTGCACTGCGAACCGCTGTCTGCTTCTCTGACATAGCTATTAGTGTGTCATAAAAAAAAAAACTTAAGAAAATCTGAGTTTCTTTTTTTTTTTTTTTTTCATAATGTGGAATCTAAGCCCTGCGGTCATTGCACAACTCCAAAAAGATACCCTTGTAGCTTTTCACCCTCCTCCGAAATAACATGGCCCAAAAAACAAACTTATTTCTGCACCTACTAAAATTTGTAAAACTAGTTTATACTTTCCTTTGCTTCACATTCTAGCAGATATTGTTTTAGCCTTGGCCTGTATTAGGAACTATTTCAGCTAAATCTATAGCTGTCAACAGTCTTGCATCAATTCTTCTTGTATACCACAATGCATTTGGAATATCTTTGAAATCATTTTCATCAAATTGTGATAGCAAAGAATGCTGAGTTATTTTAACAAATGCTAAATCTTGGACCCAAGCTTCTGTATTGAACAGAATTTTATAAGGCTGCTTGCATAGTTCTGTGTTAGGGCTATAAAGCCAGCCTGGTTTGTGTGGTGTGGACATAGAAATCAGATGCACCTTCTGCAGCTTCT